GGCGCATGCGGCAGCGAGGCGGCTGGGGTCTCCTCAGTCACCTCCTGAGTGCGTACGGGGCTCAACCCGGCCCTGCCGTTTGCCTGGGAAACTACCAAGGGAGCTGGAGAGCCCCCTGACTCCCTCGGCAAGCCAGGAACAAGCCTTCTTTCTCCCCAGGTTGGAACATAGTGATTTAACATATTGTAACACAATTGTAACATAAATCAACTGCTAATAAATAGATCGGGAAAAGCTGCAGGTTGAGTTAAAAGGGGAGAAAATGATTAATCCTTGCAGATAAATTCTACTTGATCCATTTACAGAAATATACAAAACCTTCCCACCATCTCCTGAGCCTACAGGGTCTCATCAGAGCAGAGACCATGATTCAACCCCTTGACCTTTTGTCTTCTTACACTAATTGGTGAAAGAGGTCGTCATCTGTATCATCTTGCAGATATCACAAACATTATACCTGGATGTATGCATATTCTCAAGATTAAAGTAATTACACGTTTCATTTCCACTGTATAATTTTGCTTTTCTCCAGGGTTTTGCTTTTCCACTAATTTCCAACAGCCATAGAATTTAGGAAATCAGGAAATATTTCAGTACATAACTTCTCCATTACATCTGTTTGGAGACTATAACTGAAAGAGCAAACGGAATTAGCAAATTAAAGAAATAAATCAGTTATCCCTGGTATGAAACATCTTTGAGGATGGGAGCAGTAATATTTCCATAGGAAGAGCCATGCAAGCCCAGTCCTTCGGCAGCTGGAAGCCCACAGCTGAGACTCCTAGTTTCCGTGAGCCCAACTGTTGGTCCTGGTTTCACATTCCCGCCGCACTGCCGGGCTATGGTGGTTACACCGGAACGCTGTGCAGGAACAGGCCAACCCCACGCAGGAGAAGCCTGGCAGCTCCACCAGCTTCGTGTAGCAGTGCCCTTGTGCGGACAGCCAACATATTTAGGGAAGTTATTCACAATCAAAACAGAAATTTTACTTAGCAACAACAACAAAAAAAGCTTGCTGAGATACCGTTTTGCTATAATTAAAAAGTTTTTAAACAACTCAACGTATTGGCACCGGTAGAAGTGATCAAAGAAACATGCTTTCTACAAACCATTTTCAGCATTTGCTGGAATATTTCCCTTCAGATTACCATGAACTAGATATGCACAAAACTTGAAAAACAGAAATGAAACTACTGAAATGCAATTCAAAACTACAGTAAGAACATGCTAAAACTCAGGTTAATTCTACTAAATTGGCACTTAAAGTGAGTGAAAAAGAAGCCAGATGTGGCAACCTAAAGATACTGATTAGTAAAATTGCCCACTTGAAGAAGCAGGGATGGTCACTCCGCTGCCTATAAGCATCTTAGATGATAGCCATAATTGTTGTAGTTGTTACGTAGAAATGATACCATATTTTTAAAACTACACAGTAATTCCCAGGTTTCGCTGCTCAGCCTGGCTGGCTTCCTTTTCCTCCCGGCCGCCTCCTCGCTTTGCCCGGGGAGCGGGGTCAGGAGCAACACTGGAGTTACAACAGAAGCTCCCAAGCTTGGGCACAACCCAAGCAATGTGAAACTGCCCCAGGGAAAACATCCTCTCTAGCAGGGGAACCTGGGGAGAAACCCGGGTCCTGCTGTGCAAGTTGATGAAGAGGTTTTGGAAGCTCAAGAACACGGAGTGTTGACTCCATGGCCCAGTGTCTGCCGACCCTCTTCCCAGTGTGCAGACAGCCACGTAACTATGGCAACGTGGCCTGGAGGGTGACAAGGAATTGAGCATATTCTTGGCACCCTAAAAAGATTGGCCAGCTTCATGTTAACTGCGGATCCTGGTATCCAACCCAGATGATTTATCGCACTCTTGGAACAATGTTGGCTTCCTTTGTCAGACTGGGAATACACAGTAACACCGTGAGGAGCCAAGAGCGCTTGGATGCTTCCAGCTCCCCTGTGCTCCGGATAAAGCCTGGTGCTCCATGCACGCTCGGCACAGGGCGCTGCACACGTGGGGAGCACGCTGCACCACAGCCCTGACTTCCACCGTTCCTAAAGGAATGCAAATCCCAAGAGTCCCAGGGACGTTCCTCCATAACGGCTGATGTGTTCGACAACATTACCAGAATGTAATTATTTCAAAATAAACCAAACAAAAAAGTACATAAGAGGAGCATGTGCATTTACACTTGTTATTTAAATAGACTGTACATTTACTGCTTGGAATTAGAATAATCTGAAATACCACACCATATGTGGCAGAGTCAGAAGGTAAGTTAGTCATATGATGAAGAATTCAGAAAGAATCCGAGTAGCTATGAATAGTGCTGTGGATTTAAGTACTTCCATCTACAGTACTGCAGAACTGCAGCTGGTTTGGGGTTTCCATTTATTTTTGAGCATTCTGTGTCTCTGCACGTGTTTCTGGAAACTGAACCTCTGGCACTGAGCTGTTTAGATGTAAACAGGTATTTTCAGAAGAAACATGAAAGATGACAAGCAATACTGCCATTCCATGAACAGACTTTTTTTGCATAATACCTGCTCAGTCAGACTACAGCAATGTAATTTGAAAAACAAATGCAGTAGCAGATAGTACAACAAAAAGACGATTTTTTACTACACACATACCTTAAAAAAAAAAAAAATCACTTGGAAAAACTAGCTGGCAACAGGGACTTTCTTTTCAGGGCATTTAACAGGAACATACAGGTGACTCCAGGGGCGCCCTAAGTTTGGGGACACTGGGCTGCAGCAGGTCCCCAGTCATGCTGCCGCCTCGTCCCCTCTTGCCGCCCCGGGGGAGCCTCCCTCAGAACAGCCAAGAGGGCAAAAACGAGTATTTCATTCGACCATTTGTTTTCTGGAGGGCCCTTTGATCTGGCCCATCACGTAGTCATGTGAACTTCAGCTCTGGCATAAGGAAAGAGAGAGGAAAAAAAAAGAAATCTGAAAGCCGGGACCAACCGTTCAGGCAGCAGCCCGGCCTGTCGGATGCATTTCCACAGGGACTTCAGGCTGCCCAGAGGGGCACAGCTAAACCAGACACCAAAGTTCAGTCAGGAGCTGCTATCAAAGGGGTCTTTTCCCTCCCTTC